GGGGGGGGGGGGGAGAGAGAGAGGAGAAAATTTTGATAAATGACAACTATACATACTTTGTGACATGTTTCTTCTCATATGGTACTAAAATGACGTTTGTCCCAGTAACTCGAGTATTCATGTTTTTCCTCATAACTGACAAGTGCAAGTGCTTATAAACAGAGGTGATTAATTCGCAAATAATGCCGAATAAATGGATTTGTGCGAGAAGAAAGCGGTTACGTTCGCTAAACTCAACACGGGGTACGTTCCACTTGGCGATTTCGCATCGATCGCGAGTGTCATTCTAGAGCTGCGTTCGGCATTGTAAATCGAAAATGTCGGATTGCTTTTTTACCTCGAAAATGTACAGAAGTGAGAGAGAGATACGAGATCTCGTATCTTTTTCATTTCTATGCATCTTCGAGATGAAAGAGCAATACGATTTACAATGGGTGCTTTCCAGTTGCGTACACTGTGTTACACAAAACCAGCTTATTGGTTGCATATTATCTTACAAGATATTTTAGATAATATGTGACCAATAAACTGGTTTTGTGTACGTGAGCGTCAAGATGTGTTGAGCAATTGGAAAGCTGCCGAACGCAGCTTAGGTCTGTTCTTTTCGACTGCACTGGTACAATAAGTTAGACTGAGACAAATATATATTATCTCACTTGTTTGAACGTATTGTATACCAGAGTAGCCATGGGCGTAAGAATATCTGAACGAAGCATATTGTCGCGGGGGTTAGGCCCAAGGGGTGGGGGGAAATGATGCATACATCGTAACAGAATTGATGTACCAAGATGACAACGGTCGTTATATCAACAGAATGAAAATAAATACAAAATTCCTGTACCAATATGATCGCGATGTATCCCTCTTGCCCTTTAGGCTTCACGGCCCCTCGTCCATAATCGCACTTTTTTGTGCTCTGTCCAAATATTGGTTGCGTTCAGCAGAGAAAGCTGCTTTGCAACTGTTGTAAAATTCGTGAATCTGATTGGAATATGCTCTTAATTTTGGTTGAATCCAAGAGCATATTAGATTCACGAATTTTACAACAGTTGCAAAGCAGCTTTTCTGAACGCAGTCATTCTCACGTCCATAAATGTGGCAGTACAGCTAAAAGGAACATCTATCTTTTTTTCTTCGCTACATGTACGCAGAAACGAAAGTATATCGATTGTCAAGTGGAACTTACATAGGCTGCGTTTCGAAATTCACTGCGAGTACTGAAAAAATCTATAATTCATGTCACATATACTATAGAATTTCAGTACTGACAGTGAATTTCGAAATGCAGCCATACTCGTATTATCGACACTGCAACGACACTGCAGCGACACTCTATCTCGCTAACTCTTGGGACAAGATTATAGATGGCACTGGTAATGACGTTTGACGCGATGGCGGTTTGCCGACGTACATCGACGCGCGCACGAATAGGGCGACTGTCAATCCAATGTTGGCGCACACAGCGTACGGAAGGACTTCACTCTGTTTATCTGTCAGAAAGGGGACCGCGCGTATCAAGGGAGACACGGGCATCGGTAGAGCGGAAAGACGATCAGGACGACACCGGCAGCACAACTGAGGAGCATTCAACGAACGCCGGTGAGTACCGTTGTTTATTCCTTCTTTATGATCGTCGTGCCGCGGCGTCACGAGGGAAGACGACGCGCGGGAGAGCTCGGCCGCACGCGCACGCCGCATGGACGCGCAACGTCTTCCCTCCGAGGATCCTCACGTCGCCGCGGCACGTGTTTGCAATCCCGCTCAATCGTGCGATTCGTCGGTCTTGACGTACGATTCGCCGGCTCTGACGATCGACGAACACCTTGTTGCACACGAGAACCTTCTCGAGAGAAGAGAATTCTCCGCGTTTGACAGCTCTGTGCGCACGACCGTTGTAAACAATCGCGCGCAACCGACAACCATACGACTCCGGCATCGTCATCGTCGACATCGTCGCCGTCGCCGTCGTCATCGTGGAGTCGCGAATCGTAGCTTGCGACGACGAACCGTCATATTCTCCACCCGGTGAGGACGACTAGAATAACGCATGGCTATACGGATTTTCTCTCTCTCTCTCTCTCTCTCTCTCTCTCTCTCTCTCTCTCTTCCTCTCTTTCTCTCTCTCTCCCCCCTGTTCCCTCTTCCTCTCGCTCTCCCTCTCGCTTCGTTCTATTTCTCGCCGTGGCATGACATATTCGGGAGAGACGCGCGCGATTGTGCCGGTGCAAGCCACGACCGGGCATCCAACGACGCTCGGCGTTTCTTCTCGAGACGCCGAGAAGCAATGTCATGGCGCGCGAAGGCACGTGGTGACCCAGAGCCGTTTAGCGCGCCGCGCGCGGACTCGCTGCCGCGCGTCTCTCACTCTCCTTCTCCTTCGCTCTTGCGAGGCCTGTACGCCCGGCGCTGCCACGGGGCTTACTCGACTCGTCGCAAGGAACCGACATTATGTCCGGCATTGTGCGCGCACACCATCGCCAACTGTCACGCGCGTTTCGCTCTTGTCAACGGCGCCGGAGCGGCAGCGGCAAACCTAGGAGTTTTTGCATCTTTCAGTTTTTTTTTGTCAAGTCTGAATATCTCGTATACCTGCAAAGGTCTAACACATCCGAGGGAAGGATGTTTCTCTCGAATGATCCTACTGTGAGTGAGTTTCCCGCGTTTCCCAACTCGTTCGACTCGAAGCGTCATCCCGATGTCAGACGTGTGCGCGCGCGCGCGCGCGCGCGGTTTCTCGAATGATTTGGACGACGATTTGGAGTTTGCTCGCCCGGGATTTGCCTGCTCGCGTTCGCGCGGGAAGCGCGTGTTTGTAAACGCCGCAAAAAAGCAGCGAGCGAACGACGGCAACATTGTCCCTCGCGAAAGTAACGACGCGCGTCGTGCGTGTCGCAGCCAACTATTCTTCTTGTGATGTTTTCGCGCGTGTGTGTGTCTCGCTCGGAGAACACTATAATATTATAAACAATCCAATTGTAGAAAAAACCGTTTTCTTTCTTCATCGCGTATCCAACAGATATCCAAATATACGAACTCGACAGCTTCTTGAGACAATTGAAAATAATATTTTTCTGCAACAAAACTTTGACATTTCCTAGTCCGAAACACTATTTAATCGTTCACGCTATGTTGGGATATGCGTGTTATAACTGTTGATTGTTTCTGTCACTTTGACAGTATCAACCAGTATCCTGTCATTTGACAGTTTAACACGCCATATCATCAAATCGTTATATCATTTGCGCACGATTCGATGGAAACGACCTCTAATGACTCTTGGTCTAATAAACATTAAAACTTAATTTATCTAATTTTTGCATTTAATGACCGTATAATGCGCGTCCGATAAAACGGAAATAATTCTACAAGTTTCCAACCGACTTTTTCCATTAGCGACACTTGACAAACGATTTTACTAATCGATGTATTCATCTGCCTTCAGTTAGACCGGGATAGACGGAGAGACCTCTACTGGTATAGACGCGCGCGCGCGGTAATGCCTCTAATTATAAAATATTAATAATTAATCACGTCGACATTAACGCAAAGTTCTGATCTCGCCGCTAGCGCTTTAATAAAGGATCCGCCGGTGTCATAAAAGACCGCTCGCGAAATGAGGTAAGGTTGGGGTAAGGTAAGTGTAGCTTACGCGGCCTTCTGACCGCGGGGGAGCGGAGGAGGGATTCGTCTTCTTTCCCTCGTCGAGATAGACCGTACTTCCGGCGGAAGAGAATATTACACCTGTCTAAGCACGTGCGGAAAATCACTCGCCTTCAACCAGATCGCCGTCACTCGGTCTCGTGCTTTTTACGTGTCGCGGATTGATTGTCGCGAGCTCGAGTGAATAAGTATGCAAGTTTATTTAATCTGTCATTTCTGCAAATTGCTGCATTCGCGCGATCTGCATATCCTCTACGTTTCCTCGGAACAATTTCGACGCGAGGACGCGAAGGAGCGTGACAATCCGTGCGCGCGATATATCCCTTTTATTATTGGGAAATTATCTAGATAGTTGTCTGTCGAAGCGCGAGAACGTCTTCTTTCCAAGGAACGACGAGGAGTACGGAAAACGACGAGCGTGCTGCAACCGCCCCGACAAATTACCATCATAATGCAATCGGGTCGTTTTCGCTTATGTATTCGTGTTTCGTGTTTGCCTTTGTATACCTAAGTCGAGCCTCAGACATTGGTCTCTCCGTTTTCCATCGGGTTTGTTCGGCTTCTAACGCAGCGATTATATGCACACGCGAGAATACTCGGCCCCTTCCACAAATTAGAAGTCATTCTTTCGATACATCGTATCTGCCACCTTCGTGCCACTTCGGTTTCGCAGTGCGCTTGCAATTCACGCGTTTGAAATATTCTAACGGACAATGGGACAAAATCGTAGGAAAACTCGAAAAATTTTCAATCGAGCCTAGAGAGATCTCAGATTATGTCATTTGGCAAATCGTACCGAATTGAGATTACCGACTTTGGCCGGTAAATATCTGTCCAATGATAGATTTGCGCTGATAAACGGCGCGAAATTTTGTATACATGTGGTGAGAGAAGCACGCTGTCAGTCTCGCTTTCTTATGTTACGCAACTGCGATTCTATCTCATGTAAAAGTAGTCGAAGACTACTGGAGGTGTCACGCGCGATTTTTTCTGTGAAAGGTGATAGAAATGTGCGGTAGAAAAAGAGATACAAGAATAGAAGGAGGGGAAGAAGGAGAAAGAAGGAGGGAGGACGGTAACTCGGAGGAATCTAGTTCGAGTTATAGTCCAAGATTAGCATGTCTGTAAGTGGGTCGTCGTATGCGCGTTATCTAGCCCTGGTCATTGGCCAGTAGAACGAACGAACGAACGAACGAACGAACGAACGGCATCGCGAGAGGAGAAGGCGGCGAAAAATTGCGTAACGCGTGCAATAATAATAATCGTTATCGAGACAAAAAGAGAGAGGAAGGAAAAAAGAACAAAACCTCGACTCAATCTCTATCTTCTTCGCCCGTCGTCTTCGTCCCGTTCGTTCCCGCGCGTTCTTCGTTGCTTCGTTGCCGCTTTTTGCACGCGCAATGTTTTCTCTTTTTCGCACAACTCTCTGTCTTCTCCTCTTACCGGCACGGTAAACGATTGAAAGAAAATAGCGCAATGACTGCGTTCGACATATAAAGTTGCTTTGCAACTTGCATAAAATTTGTGAATATGATTAATATATGCTCTTAGATTCGGCCATGATTAAGACCAATTGACGAATTTTACAACAGTTGCAAAGCAGAATTTTGTTCTTCTTTTCTTTCTTCTGTTTCACCATTATCTCTTCCCCATAGATTTGCAATTGTTCGCAGACCTTGAGCGACCGCGACCGCGTCGTATCCTACTCGCGGCGCGGCGTGTCGCGTCGCGTCGTGAGGCGCCGGCGTGATAAGAGACGCGCGCGGGACGGATCGGCGATATCGCTGTTACGTAACGCGTTTACGATGAGCTCGCGCTTCTTCTCTCTCGAGAGAGAGAGACCTCATCGTCGCGTATCCCTTGCGTCCTCGAGGAGTCTGCGCCTCGTTCGCGCGCCAACAGCGGCGTGTCTAGCCGCAGGTGCACCCGAGACATGTGAGACACCCATACACCTTGCCCCCTCCTGTGCGATCACGTGCATCCCCGCGAACTATTCCGTTCCGGAATCGAACGAGATCTCTAGGAGATTAAAAGAAAAGATCACGTTGAAATCTGTCTCGTCGAATTGGAAATCTAATTCGACAATAAGTGGATAAACGGATCTTTGAGTCGGATTAACTTGGAAAAGGCTATTAGTACGAATTGGTACTTTTCTCCTCTGTAAGGGACGACTTCATACGACGAGGATTCTAACATAATCATATGTCGCGATTGCGAAACGAATCTTAGAGATTACGCGAATAGACTATGTAGATAGGCGACAGTTGGGAATATAAATTTTCGTTTCGAAAAACTCGCCGCAAGGTGGACTGCTTTCTCATCGTCGATTCTCCTACTCAATGTATTAATGTATATCAGAGACCTTATCGCCGTGGCGACGCGTGCGCGCGCCCGCACATCGACCACTAATGAGGCCACTCGAGTTTCTCAATGAACCGCGGAACATCGTGGACGTTCCAACGCTGTTGTCGGCTACTCGTTAACGTTCGACGTGATTTCCGATTACGAGTACGAGTACAAACGTTCGCGATAGCGTCGTATGGCGAGTCTATTGCGTCGGACGTGTCATGTTTAAAGGCAGATCATTAAACACGTCTCATTGCGAAATAATTCATTCAAGCTGTACGATTTGTGGCTATATCGAAAGAGGACATCTGGATGTAATGGTGGTGGTGGTGGTAGTGTAACAGAGCAGTAGGATCCTCAAAGTATCGATAGTCCTGTACGTCAAAAACTACTCTCGCGAATGGCGGGAGTGAGTTTACGCACGATGTTGCGCGGCAAGGACAGAGATATCAGAGCAGCGAGCTTGCTCCACGTAAATGTCAGTCATAGAAATGTAATAATCGCGCGGAAAAAAAGTTCGGGATCCTGAATGGGTACCAGATGAAAAAACGGGAAATAACATCTCTGTTTCGGTATAGCTGAATATTCAGCTG